CATCGACGGTCTACTCATCGCATACACGGATTTCCTTTTCGGCAAAGCCATCATTGATTTGCTCAATGGATTGCATGTGATCTCAATGTCTTCGTCGACAAAGTTCTTAGTCTTCTCGTTAGCTTTGAGTGATTTGTCGCTTATATTCATTGACACAACCGATAGGTCCGCCGTCTTCTGCTTGTCTTCGGCGGAAGTGTCGCATATACTCATCGATACATCAGATGTATTGACTGTTTTATGATTGTCTTCATCGGCGGCAGAGGTATCGCAGATACTCATCGATAGATCGGACGAGTCTTTCAGAGTGAGAGCCATTGTTTCGCCCGCAGAGCTGTCCCTATCATCCACTGGTTCTCGTAACTCTTGAGGAGACGACACGGATGTCATGTCAAGGCCTTCGTCGGCAAAACACTGAGTCTTCTCTTGAGCCGCAGTGGTGTCGCAGCCACTCATTGACATCTCATTTGACGGATAATTCAATGTGATAGACATGGCTTCGGCGGTGTGTTGGCTGGCCTTCGGCGCAGTTATGTCTTGGAATACAACAGATGTGACACTCATGTTGTTGTCGGTGGAGAACAGTTGCGTGAAGTCTGTCCGTTCGGTCGGCGCCTCCACATCGCGTACGTCCACTGACTCGGCGTCGCTCTCCTCAGCATTTGACTCAACAGATGTATCAATCGCTTCGACAGTGGGAACAGCGGTGATAACGGGCTCTTGTAGTTTGTCGTCAAGCGATTCCTCCGGTTCGGCGGTTATATCGACCTCTTGTTTGGCCTCAAACTCATCGCATTCTTGTATCACCTCTTCTGACAGATCCGGAGATTTAGTGAGATCTAAACGACCGCTGAGTTCGGTATCGATTTGATTAGTGGTCTGAAGAGTGAGAGCCATGGCGTCACTGCTATTAGAACTGTCGTTATCATCGCTCAGGTCTTGAGACGAGATGAAAGTGGTGTCGTGTCGACGACTCCTGTGTCTGTCTTCGCTGGAAGTGTCGCATAGACTCATCGATACATCCGATGTATTGATAGTTTTCTGATTATCTTCTTCAGCCACAGACGTTTCGCAGACATCAATTGACACGTCTGGCGAGTCCCTCAGCGTTAGAGTCATCGCTTCGCTGCCAGTGATGTCCTTATCTGCAGTCACTTCTTGAGACGACACAAACGTCATGTCGAGGCCTTCGTCGGTAAAACAGCGAGTCTTCTGGTGGTCTTGCGTTGAAGTGGTGTCGCAGACACTCATCGATACCATCGACGGATCGCATAACGTGATAGACATGGCGTCAGTGGTCTGACTGGCCGTCTGTCCGCTGACGGCAGCGGAGGTCAGGTCTTGAGGCGCGACAAACGTCACACTCATGTTATTATCGTCGGTGAAGAGTTGCGTGAAGTCCGAGATCTGGTCGGTTCGCGGCGCCACTTCGCGGCCGTACTTGTTATACGAGGTGTTGAACACTGTCTCGACGTCGTCCTCCACAGCCGTGTCGTAGTGTTTGGCCAAATACTTGGACAGACCTTTGCTGCTGCCCTTACGGCTGCGTTTGGGTCGCGAACAGTCCTGAGACGGGGCCTCCTCTTCGGGCAGCGTTGGCGCCGCCGCCGCCGATGAAGGCTCTCCCGTCACAGACCTGTCTTTGGATTTGGCTTTCAATCGATTGATAAAATCAGAGCTTTTGATGACATTCTGCTCGACGGGCGGATCAATGGTCTCCGACGGCGGCGACACCACATCCTCCACCTTAAGACTATTCAACTCTTGACACTTGATTACAGCGGTTCCGTCGGCTAAGAGCTCTCTGATTGGGGGGAAAACACGAGACAATGAATAAAACGGGCGATAAGAGGGGCGGTGTATCGCAGATGACATACTTGTATTGGTAAGTGGGGGCCCAACTGATCCGTCGGGACGCGCGACGCTCTTCGCCGCAGTAATTGGCTTCAATGGTCTTCAGGATCTGCTCGGAGGTGACAATCAATGACAGAGAATAAGACATCAAACAAAAGAGTGGACACAAAAGTGCGGATCACTTACCGATGATCTCCTTTTGCCACTCTTGCGGCCGACGGCCAGCGGCTCGAAGGCCGCCATAAACACGTCGTTCTCGTTGTTATTGTTGTTCATAATAGTTGTGACACTCGATAGTGTCTTAAGATCACACAATCAGATCCACACAAATCAATAGACAATACAATAAACACAACACAAATCAATGAAAACGCTTTCAAAACAGTGTTTATTATGTATTTCAATACAAATGCCTGAAAACAACTGAAAAACACATTTCAAATGCATTTAAACAATACATCTCAACACCCATTGGTCCACAGCTATCAGCCAATCGTTGCGCTCGTTATAACCACCGGTACATTGTTTAGACGGCAACTCATCCATAAGTAACGGCACAACAATAACGTCCGCACAAAACAAAGCTTCAATCAATTTAAATCAAATTAAATGAATTTAAACACAATTTTGATGTCAATTATAACTTTTTATTTGCAATCTTATGGTAAAAAGAGAAGTCAAACATATTATATATATATTTAGGTATATATGTAGTGATGAGCTTTAATTATACTTCAAATGCGCGTTCAATACATTCAATTACATACGAAATAAACACTGTTTTGTTTAATTAAAAAATAAATCACAACTAAATTAAAAAATACAAAAAAAAATCTGTCATTTTCTCTCATAAATAATAACTGAGAAAAATCAATACCAAAATTATAGTTCATTTAATTTATTAATTATTAATATATATTTCTCTCGCTTTTTATGTCGACATTTTCACTAAAAAAGATGCAAAGAATGAAATTTTGTTGTATTTGTCGGGAATATTACGTGAATTAATGGATAATTTATAAATCGATATTTGAAACTAAACGCCGGACACAACTGTCCCACTCGTGGGTGCGGTTCAGTTCCCGGGTATTCACTTAAGCGTCGCCGTCGACGGAACGGTCGGGCGAGCGGTCATTCTTTTCGGCCGACGGCGAGCGGGAACGCGATCGCGAGCGGGACTTCGACTTTGAACGGTCGCGGCTTACGGAACGACTGGCGCGGCGACCGTTGGGCGACTTACTCCTGGATCTGCTCCGGGATTTGCTGTGCTCTTTGTTGTTGCGCTCGCGCTTCACTGCCGGCGACTTAGATCTCGACTTCGAGCGCGACCTTGACTTCGAGCGGGGGCTTCGGGACCGCGAGCGGGAACGGCTGCGCGACTTCGACTTCGAGCTACGGCGCGATCGGGAACGGGAGCGCGAACGGGACCGAGACCTCGAGCGGCTGCGGCGCCGAGTCTTGTCCTCAACCATTTTGATGCGTCGGCCGTGAAGATCGGTTCCGTCGAGTTTGTCCAACGCGTTCTTCATGTCCGTATAGGAGGCAAAGTCCACAATTCTGGTCAACGAAACAACACATCCATTAGTAAACCCATTTGTGGGCACAAGTGGTGGCCAAACACTTACCCCATATTGCGTTCACGTTTGTGTGCGTCCGCATACGTCACTTCGCCGGCCTGTCTCATGAAGTCTTTGAGGTCCTATCCGTACAAACATAGATCAGTGCCCGAAAATGGCCACAAATACAGTGGTTATCAACAAATGCAAACATTCGCAGAGAGTATTGAGATATAAAAATGCTTATAAAATGGTAATAATATTAGAGAAATGTATGAATAAATAGATATAAAACACACCAACAAATAGCAGATAATTATAAAAATTGAGAAAATATTTAATCATAATTAAAAGGCAACGCTTTTTAATGACAAATAGTTATAGGAAAAGGAAATTTAACAAAAAAAGTATTGAAAAAAGTGTTAATTAAATAAATAAAAAACATCTCAAAATGTCTGCCTTTTTGATGGTCTCGCAAATGATCATCTGTTAGGAGAGGGAGACTATCATCGCCTCAACTCAACTGATGGTAAAAAACAATTCAATTACAATCAAGTGATAACTAAAAGCTATTCCTCACATAAAAACAACTCAACTCAAGCCTTCATTTGTTTTGTTAGAAAATATGGTAAATTAGAAGAGAGATAGAGATAGAAGTGATTACCTTATTATACGAGATATAAACGCAACGATTTTCGGCATTCATTTATATAAACAACACATTTATAAGGAACCAAAGAAAGCGGATTTAATGGCCTTAAACAACAGTGTAATCATCGAGTGATTGAGACATAATAGACATTGCATTTCAGTGTGCGATCGGTTCTCGAGTTTTCATTTCAATTGTTTGCAAATATCATATGTTTTTTGGATAATCATATTGTGTTAAAACCAATGGTAACTGTGTTTTGTTTGGAAACGCCCTTAAGATTATGATCTGAAACACACGCCAATCAATTGTCGCCTTAAAGTTCTTACGGTTTCATTAAATGGTTATATAATTATTACAAATCGACGGATCGTTTTTTGCCACCCGTTATGTCTTACAGCTTAAGACAACTTATGTTTTTATTGGACGGAAGGAGCGATTGATAGGAATGAGAGACACATTGACCACACATGAGGACAACTACCGGAAGAGAGTGCGGGACACACATCGGTCTGACCATTAGGTTTAGATATACAGCCATAAGGTATTTGGTGGCCAACAACTTAGAGGTAGAGATACACAGTCTGTGCGAGACATCTATAAAATATATATTATAAGACGTTTACGTCCGGTAACGATAGGGTAACAGTACGTCTAGTGAACTCATTTCGCCAAACGGATTGTCCCCAAACGCACGGCTGTCTGTCTGTCTGATCATCTCATCAATCGTCTAACGTCTCGGGTTTTGGTCTCACAATAACACCTGAGCTTTTACTGTGAGCGACAATGCGTTTTGATATACAGTTTGGATTAACACCCAATTTGGACACAGATATGAGAGGCCTATTGACACCCAATTTATTTGTCAGGTGTTGTGTTTCTGGGCTAACCATTCATCAACTTTAGAGCATTGGATTTGATTGCAGTTCCAGACAATGTATGCAAAAGATTGATAATAATATCTTAATGTCATTACATATCTATTAAAAACTCTTGAAAAAATACAAAAAACAGATACAAAACCTAATATAGCGCTAAACAAGTGGACTAACCCTTACACTAAAACAGTAGCTCAAGAGGACCCGTAAGTGGACGCGAAAAGTGTGCTCAACATCGGAGGCCAAACAGATGTGACCACAGTTTTCGGGCCACAAACTAATCAATAAATACATTAATCTTACAATAAATGGACATTAAATTGCGATAAATATATAGATTACAGATATAGAGGTGTATATAAAAAAGCAATTTCTGGACACAAGAATCAATCAAAGAGATAATCAAATGGACACAAGACATACCTGCCAACTGACACGCGAGCTCAGGTTCTCGACGATCACCCGATACTCGGTATTCCTCGGCGGCCCATATCTGGAAGACATGTAGAGATAGGTTTTGTTGAAGCAGTCATTAAAAATTAGCGTCAATTGGTTTACATTCAGAAAATTATGAAATATTTTTAGACACAAACATAGTTTAGAATCAAACAAATGACACAAACATTGATAATAGAGAGAAAAGACGGTCAAATTAGTGACCAATAAATATAATCATGAATCAAATCCGGTGACAACTTCTGGTAAATCGTATTCACGTGAGTGTGTGGTATACGGCGTGTGCGATGAGGATTGGGATTCGCTGTAACCAAGATGTGGGGGTGTGTGGGAAGGGAGGGGAGGGGGAGCGCGCGCCTGCAAACTAGACCTAACAAATCACTACAAATACTAACTATAGTGTCAAATGTATAGCAAATATCAGTAAAGTAAAGTTGGTATAATGTCTTCAATGGTCATTAAGGCCCGAAAGATAGTCATCATTTGTTTGCCATACAATTGACACATTGTTAAACAACATGATGGGGAGCCGCGCGGGGGGACCACTAAACCTAACCAATCACTAACACTAACAACTAAAAGCAAATTAAAGAGACAACGGGTCGGTCGGGTCGTGAGGGGGGACACAGGTATCGGTGAATAGGCAAAGGGGTCGTCAACAACACGGTATAAATGTCTTACTTTTCAGCGTAAGAAAGTCCGCCGCCAGAAGGTCTGTCACCGCCACGACTGCTACTATAATACCCTCCGCCGCGGCCGCCTTCACCGCCACCTCCACCACCGCGTGACGATCCGCCGTACGGCCTGAAGCGGGCGCGACCACGGGATGGCCCTCTAGCGAACTCTACATGCACTCTATATAACACAACGGCGGGCGTCACATACACGGCCAGCAGTCGAGGCGATCATCGGGTTGTGAGCGACACAACACACACACAGCGGTGGACACAAATCGGAGGACACGATCGCAATCGGATAGATAGAGAGAGGAGACAAAGAAGACAATAATGAAACGAGTGCTTACTTGTCGATCCAACTATTACGCGGACGTCCGCGGTCTCGGCCGCCGCCTCCGCCGCTGCCACGGGAAGAGCTAAAGGAGGAGCGGCTAAAGTATGGCCTTTTGGTGGACCGTCGGGCTAACTCCACTGAGACACTGATCCAGAGATGAGGGGGAAAAGCATAGACACAAAAACAGAGTCTAAAAAAGCTCGCTCTCAATGGTATTGGTTTTGTTTCATTACATATTAATTAAAGTATAAGTTTTGTGTCTCTGCTTTCGATTCAGTTATCTATACCTTATATACCACTAATGGCTCACCAATTATAACCCCAAACAAACAATTAGTAAACTCTGTCCCCAATTGCCTAAAACATTGTTCAGACAATTACTAACTGTTCCGCTAATCCTATCAAATAATAACATAACTATAATGGCCTCTAAAACCCTCGATCGACAGAGACATCGGATTGGCGGACACGGCATTGGCCGCCAATACAGGACATCCAGTAATAACTTAATGTTAATCTCAAGCAAATATCAAATAATAACATAACTATAATGGCCTCTAAAACCCTCGATCGACAGAGACATCGGATTGGCGGACACGGCATTGGCCGCCAATACAGGACATCCAGTAATAACTTAATGTTAATCTCAAGCAATTAAACAAAAGAAAAGGCCGATCGCCGACACATACCGTTCGCCTAACAGTTCTTTGCCGTTCAGCTCATAGACCGCGTCGTCGGCGTCTCTGTGGTCATCGAACTCCTGGACATCGGAAACAAATAGTCAAACCATTGGACACATCTCGACAATCAAACAGATCCAGAAGACAACACTTACCACAAAAGCGAAGCCATCCTTCATCAGGATCTCACGTATTCTTCCGTAACCTTTAAAGAACTTTTCAATGTCTCTCTCGCGGACATCATAACTGATGCGACCGACGTATACACGCGTTCCCATCACTGGTTAGCTGTTGTGGACAAAAGTGATCACATCATTAGATCCAATCATTGGACAATAAATTACTGGAAATTATAATCAAAGCGTCAAATGTATGGCAAATATCAGAACACGTTGGTAAAGGTTGTCTGCAATAGTCATTAAGACCCGAAAGATAAAGTCATCACTTGTTTGCCATACATTTGACACACATTTTTGTGGACACAAAACAAGAGATAATTTTCTAATCAATTGGTTTATAGTTGGTAAAGGTTGTCTGCAATAGTCATTAAGACCCGAAAGATAAAGTCATCACTTGTTTGCCATACATTTGACACACATTTTTGTGGACACAAAACAAGAGATAATTTTCTAATCAATTGGTTTATGAGATAACAAAATAGCGGATAAGAAATGCAATGAGTTTTTATGCAAATAGTGTTATCAAGTGTTCAATAAATGGCATGAAATACATTATTTTAGTTAAAGAACGGTTAGTAACGTCACAAAAACACAGTATTTTTAGTTATATTTTTGTAATTTGTATTAATTTTAGTTACTATTTGAGGATATTCACAACTCTTTGTGATGTTTTTGTACATAAGAATTGAATGCTAAATAACAAAACAAAAATCACTGTATTTTTCAATGCAATACAAAATACACACAAAAATTCATCGCAAAAATGAAATGCCATTTAATTTGATCATAAAATACACAATACATTACATAACACAACAAACCTATCGTTAAATTCAATACAATTAACACATAAAATAGTAAACAATTAACAAAATAAAAAACAAATTATAAATTCAATACAAAAAACATTACAAAACCAAAAGTGGACTCAAAATGAACGGCAAATCCATTGCAAAGTGAAAGTGATTTCACAATCAATGAAAGCAAACCTCAAAACCCAATCAAAACCAGAACTAAAGCCAAAACAAAAGCCAAACAATCGCTTACTTAATGAGACGACGAAATGTCTTGAGATGTGTTTAAAGCGGGTCTTCGAGTGATAATCAAATCAATTCAAAATTGTAAACC